CTCAGGTTTGAGGTTAGCCTATGCTATAGATTAAACTCAAGGTCAGCCTGGACTACACAGTGAGACCATATCTCACAAAACAGTAAAATAAAATACTTGGTAATTAATTTGCCTAAAGAAGTACAAACTTGGAATGACGGTGCAGGAATGCAATCTCAGCAAGTGGGAAGCTAAAATTACACATGGATGGACAAACACACACAATTAAAGGAAACTCAAGGAAGGGCACATTTTATTTTACATTAGTTTACTACACATTTTATTTTGGAATCACAGACTGATGCCTTAAAAGGTATTCTACAAAAACACTTAAGTCAGATGTGTACAAATCTATAAATCCAAAACAAACTACTGACGTCTTTATGATTTTCAATTCTATTCCTGATACCAAAGTGCTCAGCGTTTGAAATATGCTCACCACCGAGGCACCAGTTCTGTTAGTCTACCCAATTTCATGGTTACAATCTCATATAACTTTTCAGAACTGTCCCAAATTGATTTATAAAGTCAACATAATCCCCATCATAATTCTTTACAGAGATCTGCAAGATCTTAAAATTCACACGGAAATTCAAGTGGCAGAGAACAAAAACGAACAAGTTTGGATACAGAAGAAAGCTACAGTGAAGGGAGAAAGAGAAGACCAGGGAGAGGAAGACACCTAGAGAACCAGCACTCAGGAGGCAGGAAAGTCCAGTCAGTCACACAGCAAGGCTGAGGCCAACCTGAGCTACCTACGAGAACTTGTCTCAAACCAGAAAACAAACAAGCTACAATAATCAGGACAGTGTGGTGCAGACATCAGAATGAATGAGGACCAGTGAGGTGACTCAGTGGGTAAAGGTGCTTGCTGCCAAGCCTGATGACCTGAATGGATCCCCAGATCCCACACGTTAGAGAGAAAACCTGTTGGGGGCACAGAGGTCCTTGTTCTCACAGAAGAGTATTAAGAGAACCAGGAATGTTAATCACACAGGGGTGTCTCCTCAAGGGATACCAATCAAATACCTGCATTGCATCCAGAAAGCTGAGAGTGGAGGTTAATGACCTGGTGACCTTTTTGCTCTCTGTGGGGTCAGATCTCACCCTAATTCCCTAGAATGATTATCCCTAGGCCCTTTCCCATCTTCCCTTCCTAGACATTACCCATCCCCACGGTAGACATTACAAGTACTTTATGGCCTGCTGACCTCCTATGCGATCAGTTGTAGAGCACACTAGATTCTAGGCCTTTTAGCTATAGAACCCACCCTCATGGTCACATGTACTACATAAAGGAATCTCCATGTAGTCACACCTTAAGCCTTACTGTGCACCTGAAATCGGACTGATTGGACTAATTGGTCCCCAGAAACCTTTTCCCAAATGGTACTGTTTTAAATATGCCAACAATGAACTGCCTGGCATGAGACTCCCAGAAGTCTGATTGAGGTTGACAAAGTCAATCTGCACCGGGTTTTCATTCTTATCTCTTCGTGGGGTTCACTTCCCTGTATGACACCTGCAGGGACCCCCACGAAAACCTACTCTGAAAACTTGTCTTCTGACCTACATATGCGCAGCAACAGGCACAACCCCCAACACACAATAATAATAAAATTTTAATTAAAAGAATGGGCATATGGATGAATGAAATGAAGATATATAAACAAGTTTAATAAGTTTATTTTCCAGAGAATATAATATCGTATACACACATGAAGGAAAGATAATGCTTAGAAAGAAGGAAAACACTTGCAAACATATATTTGACAGAGCACTTACAGCTGAAGTACCAAAAGAATTCTCATAATTCACTAATAAAAGGGAACTGAGTGAGGTGGCACATGCCTGTAATACCAATACTTGGAAGGGGCAGGAGGATTAGGAGTATAAAGTCATCCTCAACTACAAAGTGAGCTTGTGGCCACATTACAATACATGAGACCCGCCGGGCGGTGGTGGCGCACGCCTTTAATCCCAGCACTCGGGAGGCAGAGCCAGGCGGATCTCTGTGAGTTCGAGGCCAGCCTGGACTACCAAGTGAGTTCCAGGAAAGGCGCAAAGCTACACAGAGAAACCCTGTCTCGAAAAACCAAAAAAAAAAAAAAAAAAAAAAAAAAAAAAACAATACATGAGACCCTCCTCATCTCAAATAAATAAATAAATAAATAAATAATAAAAAGACAATCCACATGAGACCCTCCTCATCTCAAATAAATAAATAAATAAATAAATAGTAAAAAGACAATCCAGGCATCAAAGTTCACACCTCTAAGCTCAATACTTAAGTGGCTGAGCTAGGAAGATTGCTATAGGCTGGGCTACATTGTAAGTTACTGGCCAACCCTAAGCTATAAAATGAGACTTTGTCCCAAAAAGAAAAAAAGAAAGGAAGGGAGGGAAAAAAGGAGGGGGAGGGAGGGAAGGAGGGAAAGGAAAGGAAAGGAAAGGAAGAGTCAGGTGTAATGGTACAAGCCTTTGATTCCAGCACTTTAGAGGCAGAGGCAGGTGGATCTCTGAGTTCAAGGCCAGCATGGTCTACAGAGTGAGTTCCAGGACAGCCAGAGCTGTAGCATAGAGAAACCCTGTCTCAAAAAAAAAAAAAAGAAAGAAAGAAAGAAAGAAAGAAAGAAAGAAAGAAAGAAAGAAAGAAAGAAAGAAAGAAAGAAAGAAAAAGAAAGGAAGGAGGGAGGGAGTAAGGGAGGGAAAGAAAGAAAGAAAGAAAGAAAGAAAGAAAGAAAGAAAGAAAGAAAGAAAGAAAGAAAGAAAGAAAGAAAGAAAGAGCCGGGCGGTGGTGGCGCACGCCTTTAATCCCAGCACTCGGGAGGCAGAGGCAGGAGGATCTCTGTGAGTTTGAGGCCAGCCTGGTCTACAAAGTGAGTTCCAGGAAAGGCACAAAACTACACAGAGAATCCCTGTCTCGAAAAACCAAAAAAAAAGAAAAAAGAAACACACACACACACACACACACACACACAGCAAGATGCCCAATCTCCACATTACTAGACTATTAGACTCCAAGGAGAGGCAAATGATCCCACTTAACACCACAAGATGTTATAATCAAAAAGATAGAAACACTGGTGAGGAGAGAAACTGGAATCCATTTACACGGACAATGGAAATTAAAACAGTGCAGTCAATGTGGAAAATAATTTGACAATTTCTCAAAAGGTATAACTCAAACTTACCACATAGCCTAGCAATTCCCTTCCCAGGTAAACATACAAGAGAATGGAAAATTATTTCTACACAAAAACTTGTATAAGAATGTTCATAACAAATACCATTCCTATCAAAATAAGCAAAGACCTGTCTGTAATCAATGAATCTTAAAAATGTGACAGTTGTGGATACAGTTTAGTGATAGATAATAAACGAACAGAGAAGGAGGGGTACAGTCAGGCAATGAAGTAGTTACATTAATATACATTTACAGCATCTAAGGATCATATACTGAATGATTCCATTTAAATGACATGTACAGAATAGAAAATGTATACAACCCTTTCAAGCTAAATAATCCATCAATGATTTCTGCTCATGTATTTATATGCTATGTCTAAGTTCTAACATTCTTCTAAAATCTTTTTCAAGTACTTGAAAGTACAAAAGAGCACTATAGATCAAGAACAGGGCAAGATTGTAAAATAGCAAGAAAAAGTCATATCAACCTCAAAGGCAGAAAACCAATTTGTCTTTGTTAGATGCCATCAAAGACTAAAATTCCTTTCAAGTTAAATTTTGGTCTCTTTTTGAAATGGAAATTACTATGAATAATTAAACTGTAATTTGGACATTATTCATATATTTTATAAAGCAATCAAATGTAATTCTAAATGAAACAAATATACATTTTTGAATAGGCAAAAGTAACACAGTTTTGGAGTCATATATGCATGTTTGAATCACAGCCTGTTTATTAGATAGGTGAACCCTGACAATTTCCTTGAGGCCCTGAGCCTCAGTGCCTCCTGTCAAGTAAGGGGTTACAACACCTCCTTCAGGGTGGAAAGAAACTCCAACTATATACTAAACAGGGGTTAAAGAGGTGGACTCGTAGAAGTTCATCCTTTTTTTTTTGGGGGGGGGGAATAGGTTCTCACTATGCAGGCGAAGCTCCTCTCCAAATCAGATATATAAGCCCCTCGGCCAGAGATCAAAGGCATGTTGTCAAAAACATGCCTACTCACTCTTCTTACTTTTTAGAACCTATAAATATACACTGTTTAAATGTTGTGTAACTTGTATATGTTAAAACATTTTTAAAAATGCTTAATAAAAGCAGCTACATTATTAGATTCTGAGTTGTTATTTTGTTGGTTTGTCTTTCTCCCCTTAATACAGTGTCTTGCAGGCTATCCTGGAATTCACTGTGTGGCCCAGGATAGCCTCAAATTCATGGCAATTCTCTTGCTTTAGCTGCCCAGGCACTGAGAAAAAAAGGCAGTACCACCATGCCCACTGATCTGAGAGTCATTTTTAAAAAACTGACACACAGGAGATGTGCAATTAAACAAAATCGTTTCTACCGCTGTGTTTCTCATCACTTCTAAAAATGTCAACTCCACCACCTTCCATTCGGGTAACTAAACCATAGAAAAAGCAATATTAAACATTTATTTATTTATTTATTTTGAAGGCTATGGCTATCAAGAAAGAAAGAAAATTATCTGATAAGGTAGCTTATGAGGCAATCCCAGCCTGAGCCACAACTTCAGTGACAGACTTGCCTGGGCTATAGAGTAAGACTCTTGTCTCAAAACAAAAAAACTAAAAAACAAGTAAGAAAGATAAAACTAGTTCATAAACCATCCTTCTGAAAATGTATCAAAGATTTTAACATGGAAAGAAAACCATGTCCACGTGCTCAGGGACACTAGCAGGGCTATGCTTAAACTTCAGGATCTGAGGGCTCTATTCTCCTGAAGCTTCAGGTAGGAGATGGAATGTTTTGTTTCTTAGAATGTAAAAATCATAAAGTGATACTATTATCAAGTGAAAAGGAAATTCGGTACCTTAATCTTTTCACATCAAGCCAAAATCATGGAGCAGGCCAGATAATCTTTTTTACTAAAAAAAAAAAAAAATACAAATATAATTAACAGTTATCATTTATTCGGTAAGTAGGGTAAGATATAAGCTGCCCTGGAAAAGAAAGATCGATTTTGCTTCAGAGTACACTGAGGTAAATGAATGTCATTTAACTGATCTAGGTTGTCACCTGGGGTACTTTCACTAGTAATGTGGCAATGTGGCATTTGGTGACTTGCCTTAAAGGATGTTATTGGGCCTTTGCAAGCACGTGTGTGTGTGTGTGTGTGTGTGTGTGTGTGTGTGTGTGTGTGTGTGTGAGAGAGAGAGAGAGAGAGACAGAGAGAGAGAGAGAGAGAGAGAGAGAGAATTCTCATGTAGATTCATTTTTGTTTGTTTTGAAGAAAAAAGGGTGTGTCATGTAGCGCAGGCTGGTCTCAAACTCAATCCCTTACCCTCACCTCCCAGGTCCTAGGGTTCCAGGCATACAACTCCCAAGCCTGGCTACCATTGTGAAACTTATAATCTACAAATCAGATCCTGGACAATTTAAAGAATATTATATATGTGTGTGTAATTATATAAATTTATAAAATTTATAATTTACAATTTAAATTTTGAAACATAATTTACAAACCAGCTCCTGGACCACTTACAGCATACATACATACATACATACATACATACATACATACGTACGTATGTATGGCACTTTACGACATAATCCTAAAGGCTAGGCACACTCAGTCCATCGTAGTTACAACAATGAGTGGGTGTGGTGACCCATGCCGGTAATTCTAGCACTCCAGAGGCTGAAGCAGGCATGTTGAGTTGAGTTTCAGGCTAGCCTGGGCTACAGAGTGAAACTGACTTAAAAAAATAAAAATTAAAAAAAAAACTGGCACACGAGAGACAACAATGCTTTGCATTACTCTTTTACCTCAAGATCGCTGAACAGTTGAACAGAACAAATTAAAACCTTGTGCAACGGAAAGGCCAGTGCGGCCAGGGTCTCCTCCCTCTAGTCCTAAGACTTCTTGCTTTCCAGTCTGAACTCCCCAGGCGCCTCGGCGGCCGCCGCTTAGCTCACTCTCCGGCCGCGCCGCGAACCCGCACACTCCGTTCCGGCCGAGGGCGGAAAGGAGGGGCCTGGTGACTCTCGCGGCCCGGGTGGCTGGCCAGACCGCGTGGCCTCCCGGGAGTCCGCTCCTACCGACCAGGCCTCCGCGCGAGTGACAGGGGACCGACCTCGCGGGCCGCCCACACTCCCGACGGTCCCCGACAGCCTAGGCCTCCCTCCCCCGGCTCTGCGCGCGCGTGCCCCCGCTAGCCCCGCCCCGACGAGCATGCGCACCAAGCCCCGCCTGCGCCTGCGCGCCCCCGACGCCGCACGGGCACGCGCCGCCGCCTGGAGGCCGGGCGAGGCCGCGGCGGAGGGGAGGCCCAGCGCCCTGGGCGGCGCGTGGCCGCCGAAGTCCGTCCTCCCGGTGGGGCGAGAAGCTGCGCGGGGGAGGGGACAGCCAGGCAAGCAGGAAGCTGCGGCTTAAAAGGGCAGCGCGCGCCCAGCCCTTCCTCCCGCGGTCCAGGCCTGCGAGCTCTGGTCTTCTCGGGCCCCGCCGCTCTCTCCTCAGCCCGCCGCCATGTACCGCCGCCTGGGAGAAGCACTGCTGCTGGCCCGCTCCGGGCCCGCTGCCCTGGGCTCTGCGGTCGCAGATTCGGCCGCGCTGCTGGGTTGGGCCCGCGGTCAGCCCTCCGCTGCCCCGCTCTCCGGGCTCGCCCCCGCCGCCCGCCGCCACTACAGCGAGGCGGCCGCCGACCGCGAAGACGACCCCAACTTCTTCAAGATGGTGGAGGGCTTCTTCGACCGTGGCGCCAGCATCGTGGAGGACAAGCTGGTGGAAGACCTGAAGACCCGGGAGAGCGAGGAGCAGAAGCGGAACCGGGTGCGCGGCATCCTGCGGATCATCAAGCCCTGCAACCATGTGTTGAGCCTCTCCTTCCCCATCCGGCGCGACGACGGCTCCTGGGAGGTCATCGAAGGCTACCGGGCCCAGCACAGCCAGCACCGCACGCCCTGCAAGGGAGGTGAGCGCCCGCCGGCCCCGTCCCGCCCGCCCGCCCCTCCAGCCTCCAGCAGCCCGGGCCGCTACTCGGCCCAGCCCCCCCCTTGCAGGCCGTGCCCCACTCCAAGCTCCCCGCCTAGGGTGTGGCAGCCTTAGAGGATACTGATTTTTTTTATTTTTTCCATCCTAAAACTACCACGTCATTTGCCAGCCTTCTTTCTGGGCAAACCTTCACCCGGGCCTCTGCATGTGTTGGTGTCGTCTGCACTGAGGACACTGCACCGGTTTCCTTTTGGCCTCAGTGCCTGTCACCTAGCGTGAGCTCCGTAACGCCAGTGGCCGATGATACAAGAACAGAGCAAATGATCTTCTTTCTGGTGTTGGAATCTAGAAAGTTTTATTGACCAACGGAGCTCACTAATCTTATAACTTAATAGAATTTTTACACTGGTAGCTTCTTGTGTTGTGCCCCTTTCCTCCCCTCCCAAAAGAAAAAAAAAATGTAGCGGTGTAACGTCTCTAACAAACATAGGGCGTCCTGACATTAAATCTAAAGGGTGTAGACTACAGAACTACCTGCCAACCAATAGAATGAAATAGCCGTGGGGGTGTGTTCTTGTCCCGGCTAGTACCAGATTTGAGCCTCAGCAGTCATCAAGGTATCCTGTGGTTTAAATTTTGGGATGTGTGTAGATTTGGGTTTTCTAGTCACATTGCTTTTTTTTTTTTTTTTTAGGCAAGTAAAAACCTTGTTTTCATTTTGTCCCCAATACAGCTTTAAGAGTGCTAAAAAATGACATAAGAGTAACAGGAAACCCACCTTTGTTCCTTTGCTGTTGAGTAGGAGCCTTGACGGGGGTTGGATTGGCAAGTGAGCACAGAAGAGTTTGGACTAGACCAGTGGTTCACAATCATCCTAATGCTGCGACCCTTTATTTAATACAGTTCCTCATGTAGTGGTGACCTCCAACCACAAAATTATTCCGTTGCTACTTCATAACTATTTTTGCTACTGTTATGAATCGTGATGTAAATATATGCTGTGTGAATCTGTAGAGTCGCGGCCCACAGTTTGAGAACCTCTGGGCTAGACCGTTGTCAGCCTCTGTTATCCAGAGTCTTTGCTACCAGCTGAGTTTTTTTGTTTGTTTGTTTTTGGTTTTGTTTTAAAGGGTAAATTGTAAGAATGTTTCTACACCGGAAAAGCTGAAGCTGCGGGGGTGTTCTGGGTGGTGGAACAAAGGTTATGGTTAGGGTTCAATGATTTACCAAATTTGCATTGAGTCCACCTACTTCTAGGATTTACCTTTGGAGCCTAATTGCCCCTTAACTCAGTAGTTCCCTCTGCTAGCAGCTGTTGGAACCACTTTGACCTCCAATTTCCCAGGCAGTTGGAAAATCCTATAAATCGGGTAGTCATTGTCCCACTGTCTGTCACCTTCGTTCTTCCTACCACTCCCTCATTCCCCAAGCTGGGAACACTTTTGTACTCCGCTACAGAGCAAACAAGGATGTTGGAGCAAGAGGCATTGTATTGCAAATGCTAAATTACCCTTGTCTTTACAAAGGGCATGCAGCATTTCCATTCTCTTAGAATAGCTCTTCTGTGTCCTGTGATTTGGTTTTTTTTTTTTTTTTTTTTTTTTTTGGTTTTCGAGACAGGGTTTCTCTGTGTAGCTTTGCGCCTTTCCTGGTACTCGCTTTGGAGACCAGGCTGGCCTCGAACTCACAGAGATCCGCCTGCCTCTGCCTCCCGAGTGCTGGGATTAAAGGCGTGCGCCACCACCGCCCGGCTGATTTGGTGTTTTTGAGCCCAGGTCCTGTTTCTGTCTTGTCACAGCTCCACAGGCTCATTAAAGCAATTCAAGTTTGCCATAGTGTGTCATTTTAAATGCTTTTGTTGTCACAGAAGTTTAATACCAAAATAATGAACGTAGCAACAAATATCAGCCTTACCAGATCCCAGTAACCATAGCACTTGCCCAGAGTACATTGAAAGACAAAATCCTACAGAGAGAACTGGTACTGAGAGCTGCTAAGTCTCAGGACAGAAACAGAGAAACTGATTTGTAGTTAGTTAACAGCAACCACACTGCATGATGATACAGCAAGGAAAAAAAAAAGATCTTTAAACTTTATGAACTGGCAAAGATTGTATAGCCATGAAAGCCCTTAAGGAAATAAATAAATAGTATATTAGATGATTAGCAAAATCTGAGTGCTATGGACTCCCATCATTTATTTCAAAGTGTTAACAGTCTCAGCACTCCTGCAGAAACCATGCTTAAGAAGAACTTATTTTCAGTGGGGATTTTCTCTGCCAAAAACCTAAAGCTATCTAAGAAAAGTATCAAAAAGCCAACTGTTTAGTATGCTCAGGAGACTGAGGCATGGGGACCGTTGGAACCCAGAAGTTTGAGATGAGTCTGGGCAATATAGGAAGGAGACCGTATCTCTCATTTGAAAGCTGTTAATCATAGCCTCCAGTCTTAGAAATATAGGATGTCTTAGGTGCTTGGGATTTAAAAAAAATTGTTTTTTTAAATAACCCCTGTACAGTTGAGCAGTCTTAACTCTTAAATATTTTTACAATGCCTCTACCACCCCCAGGTAAACTCTCTTTTCTCTCGGTGTTTTGGGGATTCTGTTTTTGTTTCTACTTCCTCAGTTTCCTGCTTGCTTGTGTCCTCATGCCCAGATCTCCCAGTGTTTATTAAGGGAACCCTCATCTGTTCCTTGAAATCCTTTTCCCAGCCTTCAACTTTCTATATCTAATCTTTCCTCCACGGTGACCTTAGACCTGAATTCCCTAAAATAAAATCCTCAAGGTTGAGCCAGGCCCAGTGACAACTTGCCTGCAACCCTAGCCCTGGAGCTGGGAGAATTGTGAGTTGAAGTTCAGCTGAGCTACTCAGTAAGACCCTGACTCAAAAAACAAATCCTATATTGAAGCAGTAGTCTAAACTATAATGGAAAGTGGTAGTTTAAGATGTGGGGGTACTGGTGAGTACTTTATTCTAAGTAAATATTTAATAAACCTGGTTTTGTGGTTCTGTTTTTCCAAATCATATTTAACTACTAGATTTGCCTCTGGGACTAGTGACTTAATTGAGTGGAGCCTTGCCTAGCATATTCAAGGCCCTGGATTTAATCAGTATCCAGGTATGGCAGTGTGCACCTTATTCTGTAATACTCAGCACTAAAGAGGCAAAGCAAGGGGATCTGAAGTTCAGGGCCAGCCTGGGCTACAGAGATAGACCCTGTTCAAAAAAAAAATAAAAAATTTTATTCTGTAGCAAAGATGGATATTGTAGTAAACAACTGATTTGAGAGGACTTGTTCAAAGGTTCAGATATGTTTTAAAGCATTGTAGAGATTGTTTCTATTGGGCATGAGGATGTTCTGGGTGCATCATGTCACACAGTTGTTTGCCAGGGTAGAGTTGCATTTTGGTAGATGCCTTCCCTCATCTCCATTTGCATCTCTCCTGAAGCTACATATTCTGAAAGAGAGCAACTTTCTCAGCAGATTGTTCTATTAACAGCTAGCATAAAGATCTTAAGAAGCAGTGTGGGGGCTGGAGGACAACTCATCAGTTGAGAGCCCTTGCTGCTCTTGCAGAGGACCCGGTTTGATTCCCAGCACTCAATGGTGACTCACAACCATCCACATCTCCAGTTCCAGTGATGTGGTGCCTACTTCTGACCTCCTCAGGCACCAGACATCATGTGGTACACGTTCATACATGCAGGCAAAACACTCATACACACAAAATGAAACTTTAAAATAAAAACAGTTTAGAAGAAAGAATTCAGCCATCAACTGATTATATGAGTCACTTTTCTTTGTCTTCTAACTTACCCATCAGTGTCTTGATCTTAAAACCATTAAGTCAAAAGTTCCCATCAATGGTTCTTTCTCCTATGTTAGAACTTGTTCAAATCGTCATTTAAATATAGATGGTGAGCAGTAGATGGGTATCTTGTGTAACCTAATATTTTGAAAGCAAGGCAGTGTCTTGCTGCTACAAAATAAAATACAGAATTTAACCTGTGTTATAAGCCAGATGATTTATACATTCTTTTGCACTTAGCTGTGATGTGTTTGTAATACTTTTTAGTTAAATACAAAACTGTTTGCCTTTATAAAGAAAGACCTGTCATTTCATAAATCCATGTATCTCTAGCCCCGATGTGCTAACAAATGAAGAGCTCTGAAACCTGAGGCAATGTGTGCTACAGATTGTCTTGTCTCACGTTCTTTGTGTATGCAAGTCCACTTAACTAGTTACAGGTCACTTGTAGAGAGCACACTTTGTAAAAACTGGCACGTCATAGATCGGAAACCAAGCCCCAGTGCACATTGAACTCCAGAAAAATGGGTAATGATTAATGTGTACATAAAAGAAGTGAAAAGGTGAGCTTTTGGGCTTGTAACAGAAAGAAATTGGATTTTCCACTGTGATAATTGAAATTGTTTATGAAAATCAGTTTTGTTTTGTTTTGTTTTTTTAAAGATTTATTTATTTATTATAAATACAGTGTTCTGTCTGCACATATCCCTGCAGGCCAGAAGAGGGTGCCAGATCTTATTACAGATGGTTGTGAGCCACCATGTGGTTGCTGGGAATTGAACTCAGGACCTTTGGAAGAACAAACAGTGCTCTTAACCTCTGAGCCATCTCTCCAGCCCCGAAAATCAGTTTTTAAATAGCACTAATGTTACAGATATTGAGGGCAGAAGCAGGAAGAACTCTTAGTTTAAGGCTAGGCTGGTCTCCAGAGATTCCAGGTCAGCCGGGCTACACAGTGGGTCTTGTACAAAAAAAGAAAAAGGTGATAAGAAAATGGGAAGTTCAGCCGGGAGGTGGTGGCGCATGCCTTTAATCCCAGCACTTGGGAGGCAGAGGCAGGAGGATCTCTGAGTTCCAGGCCAGCCTGGTCTACAGAGTAAGATCCAGGACAGGCACCAAAACTACACTGAGAAACGCTGTCTCGAAAAACCAAAAGAGAGAGAGAGAGA